AACAGGAGTAAAAATATCTTCATCTGCCTCTGAGTAGGGTACTGAGCATGTGGTGACAGCAGTGACATTTCTTCTCCATGTGGCAGCACCAGCAACTCCACGTATGTGCTTTGACAGAAATCAATGGTGGTGCCATTACTGACCAAATTCCTCTCAGGGTTTGATCCATGGCTTTTCCTGCTCAGATTTTCTTTATTATTTTTCTTTAGAAGCTGGTAATTAAAACCAGATCTTAAACTGCCCTGTCATGTAAAGCATAGCCTGAGAAGTTCTAACTTTGCTGTTTGCTGATGTCTGGAAGTAATGGGATTTTGTTGGGCAATGGTGGCCAGTGTTGGTGCATGGAGAGTTCTGGCTTAGAAGCACAAATGTTTACCCAGCTGAGAGCTGAAGCTGTGGTGTAGCACAAAAATAATTATCTCAGCTCCCAAAGGTGCAGTTTCCCATTATAAGCCCAGAACCTCTTGCCTTCTATAAAGACAAAACTTAAATGATTTGATTACAGGAAGAAAATTCAAGATTTGAAGAGTACTTGAACCAACATGTTAGGCTGCATCAAGAAGTATATTTTTATGATAATGGTAATCAAATGAACTGCCTAAGGGCAAATAAGCAATTACATCAGAGATGAAAGTGTCTGACAGGATCATTCAGAAATTAGAGTACCTGTTTGGTCACTGAAGTCATCTTGCTCAGGCAGTTAGTGATGGCTGCCAGCAGCATGTCCCTTACTGCACAGGTCAGGGTGACAGCTTAGTCTTCATTGTTGTAACTTTTTGTTTCAAAATATGAGAGTCTGGGAATATAAATTAAGGTTCCACTGAGCCATATGCAATGCCTTTTTTAATAGGAGATGGTTATGTTTTTACTGACATGAAAACAATGAAATCTCTAGGCTTTGTACTCTAAGGAGAAGATAACATAGGGCAAAATTGCTGTTCCTTGGAGGAATCTCCCAGAGGAATCTCCCAGAAGAGGCAAGAAGGCAGGTCCAGTCCCCATCCTCACTTTAAGATATGCACTATGCACACAAGACTTCTTATATTTGATCTCTGCAGCCATAAAGCTGGAATGACATAGACATATTTTCTAACATTCAGTTGGTTTGGAAGCCAGCAGGATACAATCTACATAATACCCAACTATGTTATAGTAACCCAAGTGAATTGTACATGAAATAGACAAATTGTTGAAATCATGGGAAGAAAAGCCTTCCACAAGGACAGTAGTGGAGTTTCAGTGCCACTTGTCTGCCTTTAGAGAACCCTAGTCTCAGTGCTTTACAAGGTTTTGGTACCTAAATTTAGACAGATGATTTTGGTTCAGGCACCCCATAGCGCCTGATCTGCTGCAGGCAGCGTCAGTTTAAACAGTAGATTTTGACTTTGGTGGCAAAAGGCAAAATGGATATTTTGTTCTACGAGTCAGCGACAGTTTTCAGCTGCTGTTCTTTAAAAAGCATAAAAGGCATGTAGATTTAGAGGGTGTATCATTAAGAAAAATGTCAACAGTGGCTGGCCTTGGACACTTGAGGATTAACAGCTCTATGCCTGTACTGAAGAGAATAAATCCTCATTAACCAAATGAAACTTAGAATCATATACTGAAAAAAATTATCACCACAGTTTTGCAAGCAAAGTTTATGTTAAGTGATAAACTCCTCACTCTGAAAATGAACTTGGTAGTAGTGAACTCCTGGGAACCCATTGTTTGCTTTTAAAGGGAGGGGGGAAAACTGTAAAAGGTTAGCTATGAAAAAACCCTGTCTATTGGCAGTAGGATGATGTTCTAGAAAATGCAAAATTTTGGGCATCAGAAAGCTTTTTCTTGAGTTACAAATCAAAGTTACTGTCAGGGACTTCTTCATTAGACATAGGATAAAGGGGAGAGATATTTCAGATGTCTGCACATATCATAACACCAATTAATTCAGGTTGCAGATTCTCTTTAATGCTCTGTTAGCTCTGTTTGTAGTCCTAGTGCACCTCTCTGGTGGGTTGACGTTTGGCCGGCTGCCAGATGCTCACCCAGCTGCTCTCCCACTCCCCTTCTCAACAGAACAGGGAAAAATTAAGAAGAAAAAGCCCATGGGTTGAGATAAAGGCACTTACCCGTTACCATCATAGGCAGAACAGACTCAACTTTAGGAAAATTAGTCTATTGCCAATTAAAAGGTTGGATCGTGAAAACCAAAGACAACGGCTGAAATGCCTTCCCCCCAGGGCTGAAGTTCACTCCATTCCCGACTCCTCCACGTCCCTCTCCCCTGACTGGTGAGACTGGGAATGGGGGATTGCAGTCAGCTTGTAACCGTCCCTCTCTGCTGATTCTTCCTGCTCACCCTCCTCCTCCCTGCTCCCATCTGGGTCCATCCCATGGGCTGCAGTTCCTTCAGGATAAACCTGCCCCAGTGTGGGCTCCCAGAGGCTGTGGGGAGCCTCTGCCCAGGCGCTGCCAGCACCTCCTGCTTGACCCCGGTGCGGCAGGGCTGGTTCTCACACCTTGTCCCTCACTCCTCACACCTTTGGCCCAGCCATGACCTGCCTTGGGGCCACCGAAACCGGCTAGAACCCGTTGTGTCCAGCATGGGGCAGCCTCGGCCTCACCTGGCAGAGACCCCACAGCCCTGCTGCCAGCGCCTGCGCACCGGCACCTCGGACGACCTGGTTTTTCAGGAGTGTAAAAGGACTTACATAGTTCTATAATGATATGTTAAGATGCATACTCACAAATGCCTGATTTCTAGAGAGTTTCTTGCAATTCTTCTGAAGTTTTGACTAGCAGAGTTCCCATAATAGTAGTGCTGTCTTTAAGGAGTTGCAGGGTTAAGGGAATACTGTGCAATTTGCACATCCCATGTGGTGAAGCAAACCGGTGCAAGAAATGTACCAGTCTGAGGGAAAGATCTCAGCTGATGTACAGAAAAGGAACGTCCTTATTTCCAGCCCACAAACAAGTAAAGCATGGAAGAATAGGGTGAGTGATGGGCAGTTGAGCTTTAATTTCAGGAAAGATAAGCAACTGAAAGGGGAGTCAGGTTCTCGGGGCAACCCCCCTGGCCAGTTCCAATGACCTGCTTCTGGCATGTTGTTTGCAACACAGGCAGTTCCTTAGAAATTAAAAATACCTGTTGAGAAAAATCGGGCAGTAAAAATTTGGCTTTTCACATGCATAGGTTGATTCTTATTAAAACCCCCTTAATTCATATGTGAATAAAGCTTTCTTTTCCTTTTCATTTGTGAAAAATACGAGCCAAGTCACCACAGAGCTGGACTTATTTTAGCGGGCATTTCCTTTTGCTTGAAGAGGCTGATGTCAAGGCTCGAGCACAGAACGCTTCAGCTGAACCTTGTGAGCGTAGTACACTGAGTCAGTACCGGGAGAGGCATGCAGAAAATTTAAATCTGCCTGCAATTTCTTGAATACGCAGGGTTTAAAAAGAATGACAGTGATTTCAGAATAAATCATGAAAAGTAATCCTTCACAATAATTTAAACAAGAATTAACAGATAAAAGCATTGAAAACTCCTGAGACAGGCCCATTTCCCCGCAATGAGTTATTTTTAAAAACAAACGTTGCGTTTTTAATTGTTTTGAGAGTTTTAAGATTTTTTTATCTGCAGTTTTCCTCCCATATTGTGGGGCAAAAGTTTACTTAAAAAGATTGCTGCATATATATAATATTGACATATGTATGTCTTTTAGAACTAAGATTTAATGGAAACAACTCTTTTTATCTATGAAATAGGAGGAGATGGCAGGATCAAACTTTATTGAAGCAGTATTGTCATTTGGCAAATCAAACCACAGACTATATTGCATTTGCACCTTATGTTGCAATTTAAAAATTACTGCTGTGGTTTCTAACAAGTTAGGTGTGCCCTTCCTTATACTCTGTGTACTTATGCAGTTCCCACGATGGCAGAAGAATTGTGTACATGGTAAAATGGGGCTTCCTGCTCTGAAGTATTTGATTTATCTATAAAGTCTTATTTACATGTACTACCAAAACAGTAATATTTCTATTTGAAATAGACTAACAAGAAGAAGGGCAGCTGGAAGCTATAGAGGGGTTTGCAGTACTGCAGTATGGCAAATGCAAGGCAAGTGGCGGATGTGCTTACTGGGGGGTGATGGCACAGATTCCCCCTGTTGCACAAAGTGAGTCAGAGAATACACTTCATGTGAGAGCTGGTGTTAGTCTCGGGCGAGTGCTGGGGAACCAGCTACAGAGGGGGATTGTGTCCCTCCTCCCACCTTGCTGCACTGGCCGTGCTGCACAGCTGTCTGTTTTTCTCTCCTGTGGCCAGCAACACCGAGCACCAGAAGCTACTCTGGAGCACCTCCCTAAAACACCTTTTCCTGGTGTAAAGATTTTAATAGCGGGTGGTTTGAATAGTTCAAATATAAGTCATAGTTATATAAAAAATTAATGAAAGCATGCAGTATCAGGCTGTACCTGACAGTTGCTGTAATGCAGCGTGTCGCTCTCTGAGAACCTCCTTGCGCTCCGTAGTTGTCTTTAAGCGCACTGTTGAGCAGGCTACTTGTTAACTCTCAGTCCTGGCCACTACATGTTGATAGATTTTTTACTACGGGGCGTAAGTTGCATCTCTGTGTTGGTGAATGTTACCGAAGCACAGATAATCTTTAAGGGACTTTAATGTTAAGTGAGAAAAAAAAGAAGAAACGAAAATTGCATTTACTCTTTTGCACTTCAAAAGACTTGTTCTGCAATTTCTCCTCACCTTTAAAGATAGTAACTAGAAAGCTCATAGTGTGGGAGCCTTTGCTTTTAAACGCTGCAGCAAGCGTAATACTCACTGGTTGAACTTGCAGTTGGCAAAAGCAAAAGCTGGGGGGGATGCAAGGGAACATGGGCTGTCCTTTGTAGTTTCAGTTCTTTTAGAAGCACTCACAAATAGCTTTAGTTTCTTTAGCAAATACAATGGCATCATTCTGGGCATGCCTAGTAGAAGTGTTCTGGGGCTAGTAAACTGTGAACAAACCTGTTTGCATTGCTGTACTGTACAGCGAAGCACAGATAAGCCCTAATTGTTATGCAACTCCTTAGCATAAGCTCCTGGCATGGCTCATATGCTTCCCTTGTACTAAGACCGTCCAAAATAGCAACAAGAAAGCATGTAACTAAAGACACAGCAGGAGTGTAGGAATTCACCCAGGCCTTGGATGTTCTAAAGATTGAACAATTCCTCATTTTAAACCTTCCAAAATGCTAAGCATAATGTATTTTCTTCGGAGCTTCTTCAAGGTAAGCAATTTCAAACTTTTTCTGAGTGTGGGAGTTTGTTTGGTTTAGTTTTGTTTTGACATGAGAGAAGCTTAGATTTGAAGTGTTTGTACAGGAATGTAGAAAGTAGTTTTCTTGAGAACTGATGCCCAGTAAGTGCATGCACTCACCAGGTTAGCAATTTGCTTTGCTGTGTTAACTTTTGATTAGTAGAAAGTGGTTATCTTCTGCTGGAATTAAAAGGAAACACTTGTTGTGGATTTACGTTAAGAGATCCTTGTGTGCTGAAAACCCTAAAATTTATGGTGTAAGCCACATCCATCAACAGGGAGTTGTTAGCAGTGAAAGGTGCATTTTATGAGACAAAACCAAATTATAATTAATTTTTATTATGTTTTCCTGAAGTGTTTGTTGTAGTTTAAGTATGCCAAACTGAGCACTTGAACACTACTGTAATTGAAAACGTTTTGGATGATACAAAATAATTAGAAAACTTTGCCAATAAGTTTATGCTTCATATTGTTAAAATGACCAGACCAAAATTGTAGTCTTCAGTGATGGGTATGTAACTCTCTGGGGATAGTTTCATTTTCTGTGACTCTAATAAATTCTACAGGTTTATGACTGAGCTCCTGCTACTGTCTGCTGCTGGACTGAAACAGCTGTTTAAGATCTGAGTCCCAGCTGTGGCTTTGACCCTGCTCAGAATTACGGCACAGCAGTGTTGCCACGGGAGCGTGTGCTGCAGGTTTCATTAGAAGCGTGCACTGTGAAATATGTAGATGGTGTGGGTCAAAGGAAATGAAAGTTTAATCGTATTAGCGAATATTGGATTATTCTGTGATCTAAAATGTCAGAATTTGAAGCGCAATAGAGAATTATGCTAATTTAGAAGAAAAATACTTAAGGAATATAATAACTGTAATAAGCTGAATTTCAGCTTCCCATTATGTCCCTTAGACATTTGCATGCCAAACTACTTCTTGGTAAGGTATGCTGCAGGATTGCAGCTGTAGTGTAAAGACAGCAGTAAATCTCAACCCAGACTTGCTCTGTGGAGACCAACTGCTGTTTGAAATAAATGTGAGAAGAGGTTTAATTTTGGTCCTAAAACAATTAGCACCTGGAACAACCCCATGGTTCATAGAAAACCAGTAGCACTTCTAAGTAGTAAGTGGGCCTCATATTTGGCAGCCTTCATTAGGGAGATTGTATGGAGCTGGTTTTAAAAATTGCTTACATTTGGGTTGAAAACATCTGCTTGGCTTTTTCTGAATTATTTTGTTACTCTAAACACTGCATTCTTTGGAAGGTAAAAGCAAGGGACAGGACAAATACAACAGGAAGGGTTTTTTCCGTTACTGGGATACAGCTATTGAATCATCATACTTGCATTGCTGTTTTATCACATGACAAGCCTTGACTTTGAAAAATTTTAGCTTAAAACATATTGCTAAAGTGTTTGCAAATATCTTACATTAAGGTAGGCGAGTACATACTTCTCAGTCTTAAAAGAGGGTTTTTTTTACATAAGGATCAGCCATCATAGCATTAAGACATTAATATTTAAGAAAAACAGGACTGAGTACAGCTGGTAGCTGTCAGTTTTATTATGGTGATTACTGGATTCATTCTGCAGATGATAATTTTAGTTTGTAACAGCTTTGTGCCATTTCTTTGGGTTTCAGTTTGAGAGATTTGCAAGGATCAGCTTATGTCTACGAGTTTCATTTTGCATTCATTGACTTAGATTTAAGTCAGCTAAGTCAGTCAAACTTTGTCCAAAATGGAGGTAAAATTAAAGACCATTTTAATTACAGTTTCTTCATTGTTTTCTGTGAAGTTTTCTTGAACTAGAAAGCTCTTAATTGAAAGCTGGCCAAAACACAATATATCTAGAGTTGTGTTTTACAGGTCCTGCACACCGTGCTGCACTCTGATAATCTTGTGATTTGGGCCATGCTTGATGAATGTTTGAAACGCAGTCTGAGATCTTAGATGTGTTCCTCAATAGGATCTTAGCTCCTAGGATCCCCATATCCATGACTGGGAACTTATAAAATTATCCCCCTCACCTAACTGGAAAGAAAAAGCAGCCTGGGCCAAACAGCGAGTAAACTTGCCCTCAGCTTTGGGATAAATGCTGCTGATGCTGTGGGAGAGGTACTGTGGTGCCTCTTGTCCTCCCCTGGAAGTTGCGTTAGTGCCATTGCTGGTGGGAGGAGCAGGAGGATGTGGGAATAGCATAAACCTGTCCCTGCATCTCCAGGAGGGAGCTAGACCTGGGTGCAGGACAGCGAGGCGGGGTTGGTAAGGAAGAGCCCAGGACCTGCTGCCTGCCCTCGCAGTTACGCGTTGTAAACTCAGTTCTGTGTGATGGTACCATGGTTCCTTTCACCGTGTTATAGCAGACCCAAAATTGCATGCACATCCGATCTTGTGAAGAGGTGTCAGCTCAGACATCCTGTTGTATCTTGGCCAATCAAGATTTTTATCTCCCATAAGAATCCATTTAAAGGCTTAATATGTTTATCCTTGGTTCTGCCAAGACAAATGGAAAGAGATACTGAGGTTGTAACAGGTGCACAACTGCATTGGCTTTAACTGCTGTTTTTTCTCGCAAATTTAAATAATTCTCTAATTAAAATTTTCTACGTGTCTGTTCACTTGGTGTGAAAACACTTGCTTCTCACAGAAAATGTGCAGAAAACAAAGTGTAACTTTATTAAATGAAAAAATTATATAAATGGCTCAGATAAGCCATAATTAGTTTTTGAGAAGTGCAACAGTGAAGTTTATGGAAGTATACTATTATTTTATTTAATTTCAAAACCAGAAAACGCTGATTAATACTGCTGTCTTTTAGAATGATGGCCACAATAAGAATCATGTTTTAATTTTCGGCATGGAACATTTAAAAACAAACAGCCTGTTGCAGTCATTTTCAATTCCTGTCTAATGCCACGGGTCCAGCAGTAAACAAGGCACAATGCAGATTTGCCACTAATACCTTTAATGCCTCTAAAATAGTACACCTATTGTTCTCTCTGAACCAAAGCTCCAGGCCACTAATACCGGCTAAACAATTCCTGGGCACTTTAAAAGGCCAGTGTAGCCTGAGCAGGGATCGCTGCACTTGCCAGTTGCAGGCAGAGCTTTTGGGAGCCCTGCTGCTGCCATCACAGGAAACAACACTGCACAGCTGTTAAACATCAAAAATTCCTATCAGACTCAGTGTTCAAAGCATCGTGAATTTCTCTCTCATTGGACACAAGTTCTGTTTAATTCTGCTCAGAAATCTGTGTCACCGGCTTGGTTAGTTTTTGCAGCCCATCCAGTTTAGACTTTGGATCTGAACCTAACTTTGCTGGTTTTCTCTGAAGGATATGCCAAGCTTGCATTTACATGAATCAGACTGAAGAATTTGTTCGGAATATATGTGTCTCTCTAAAGGATTTTTGGTCTGATTTAAGAAATCAAACATCACCTTTATAGTAGTTTTAGGTCTTGCATCTTTTTCACTAGATATTTACCTATCCTGAAAGGTTAGGTTCCCCCCTAAACTTTGTGGCTTAGTTCTTTTTTTATGACTTTTTAACGTCTTTTAGCTGGGCTATTCATTGTTAGTCTCAGTCTTGGCACCTCTAAGATACCTGTGAAATGAGCACTAAAATAATGTCTGGTTATTCTGCTCTGAGGGCCAGCTCCTTTTTCCTTTCTAGTGAAACTGTAGCAATTTCTAAACAAAGTTCTAATTTCAGGTGGACCTGTGCCAGACATTTAAGTAGAGGCAGGGACCCTGCTGAGTGGACATTCCCTTGGAAAGTCAAATGTGGTCTCACTGAAAACGCACCTTGTTATCTGCAGCAGCGCTGGTTCTGTTAGGTGCAGCTGTAATGCTGCTGTTGCATGGGCCCCTATCTCTAGTGCACCACATTTAGCTGAATAATGACCGCGGATATTGGGGGTGTTGCCTAAAACTAGGGAATGACTGTAACATCCAGCTGGTTTTAAAATGTGCTTATCAGTTGTTCATCATCTAATCTTGAGGATGCGGTGTACTAATATGATCTTTAAGCATGCTCAAGTGTCAGTCAAGCAGATACAATTGACCTTTGGCACCGTGTGAGTGTGTGGAAATCTCAGGTTTAGCTTCTATTTATCAAGGTCATCCTGTGCAGTGGAATTTCTGTGCACGGATGCTGCAGCTTTCTAAACAGCAACAAAAAATACAAAGAACAGTCAAACAGAACGTTTCAGTGTGGGAACTGCTTTCTTGCAAAACTGGCTCAAGGAGACTGACAGTGTTTAGCTAATGAACTTCTTGTAGCATAAATTAAACTAAGCCAATATTGGGCTGGAGCTTAAATGACAATCCTATAAATCAGCTTAGACTTTGTAGTAACATCTATAGCAACTCATACTACCTGAGTAACAACTCTGCAAGTAATACCAGAATGCACACCTCTTCATAAAAAAAATTAAAGAGGGCTGCTAATGTCTCATTTAATATGCAAAATAACAAATTTGTATGATTGCACATATGGTTTAAGAACCCCTGGCTTATATATACATGTAGAATGAGTATTGTAGTCAATGCTGTGAATATTTGTCCTTGCAAAAGTATAAAAAAAAATTTTACTCGAGTTTTCAAATGGCTTTAAAACCGCAGCTATCTTAGGAACACAAATTCATATATAAAAAGCCTCTGTGAAGGTCTTGCTTTCAGGGGAACTGAAGTAGCTGCAGACAAATACTTTTCAACTGAGGTAACCACAAACCCTTAATGTTGTCCACAGAAAGTAAAATACTGTGACTGAAGTGCATTTTCTACTGAAACAGGGAGTACGATGGCCAGAGATACATTTTCTAATAATAGCTTTGATACTAAAGGAAGAATGAAAATTAATATATTTTATTCCTGCAATGACTTCCATCTAAAAAACGTTGTTTCCTGATACTGAATTAAGCTGCAGAGTGTATGGCAAATTATCAGGATCGGGAATTTCTTATTCCAGACA